CTGATATTACAACGGAGAAGAAGCCATCATTCATATATCCTCGATGAATATACATACTCCTGTCTTTTCTCTACATATCAGCACTATCAGTGAAGAAGTGACAATGCCTTCGTATACCTTTGTTGTCAGTAATGAGGTTGCCAACAGGATGACCACTGATCATTGCGATACGTCATCACAATCTGATGCAATATTTCTCACCAGTAATAATCATTTCACATTCCTTTAAGCTTTCTCTCTATTGCATTATAATTTAGAATCGAAACAACTTCTGGAATCTTTTGGGATCCCATCTCATCTAATTTAAATAAATGCGTCATATGATAAGAAAGGAGCGAAAAGATTTTTAACCTTATTTATTTTCGACATTCTGATAAAAATGTTGAAGAAAAGGTTCCCATACATATGTATTTGAAAAAAAAAACAAAAAAATCAAGGAGTATATTTGATTACAAATGTCGATCGCTTTAGTTAAAACTTTACACAATTTGCAGCTAACATATTTTAAGCATAATTCTTAAGCAGCCCCTCGGCATCTCCTAATTCCAACCATCGCTAAATTGCAACGCTGAAAATTGCAACGCTTTGCGTAAACAAACTTTATCAAATAGATATTCACAACAGAGACGGTGATGCAAAGCGGCAATCATGATGGAAAGAGGAACCGGAAAAGGTATCTTCTTCACTTGTTCAAATAAAAACATCATCATTTTTGGTCAGGATAAGGATTAACAACTGATAAACAAGGTGTAATTTAAAATCCTTTTTCTCTTTGTTGGTTTAAAGAAGTGATTTATTTATCAACAGTGAAATTCACTTTTTGAAATTCAGAATATGAGATCCAATCTTTTTATCTTATACCACTTAGCACTTCGTTCTTCAAAAGTCTTATTTTAAGACATATTGAATCGAAGGCAATTTAATCCACTTTTATAGCTGTTGTGTATTCCACTTTATCAAATTTGAGGTTTGGAATTTGTCCTTCGAATTTCAACAGTTATTGGTAATTTTTAATGGTACAAAGGGTGCATTTATTTTCCCTTTTCAAAATCATTATAGCTTAAAGGTAAATGTACCACTCAGTGTGTCAGTTGCTTCCGGTTAACTTTAATAAAAATTACTTAAATTTTATGAAATTTGATAACTATAACAAAAATATATTAAATACGGCATGTCAGATACCATTTGTAAAATAAATCATTGCTCCGCATGATTGCCATTATCGGTTGGTTTCTGAGTCACCTTTACTGATAAGATAAAGTGGAACTTGAAGGAGTCCGCATCTTGCGGAATTTTTTCCTGAGACAAAGAAAAAATAACGCGATGGGATTCTGCTTCAAATGAAACAAGGAAACACACAAATATTAGCTAACTGATCATCAGTTAAGGAATTAAAACAAAATATGCAAACAGGAAGAAAAAGAATAGATCTGAAGATTCAACAAACAGATCAACTTCATGTCGGACACAGTCTCATTAATCAGAGAAACTGTCATTGACTTAATTAACACATTTATGTAGAATAATCGAATGAAATTCTGAAGCAAACATCGCATAAATCAGTTCAAGGTTATATATCAATTTCAAATTTGAAAAAGGACTAGCTCTTCTCATTTCTTAATTTAACTGACTGATATGTAACTTTTGATAGTAAATAGCTATTGGGGATCATTGCAGATGGATAGCCTTGCTCATTTTCAACAGTTTGATCGGTCGGAAAATAGAACGGAAAGTACATCAGTGTAAGACTTTCAAAAAAGCATTCATTGTCCTTGGACTTTTGAGAACCAAAAAAAGGGCCAAATTAATTTTTTTTTTTGCACTCAAGGACGTTATTCGTAGTTCTTATTTGTTTGCTCACTTTGGAATCATCAGATTACGTAATTATTAGCACTGAAAAAAAAAATTACTTTTGTGTGCTCTTTAAAAATTACTCGAGATTTTGCTTATCACAAAAAGAAATCTTTTTTTTCTTACTTTTCCTTCACCAACCCTTTTCAGTTTTTGTTGGTTGCCATTTCTAGAATACATTAAGTAAACAAAAATTCAATTTTCAAAGGAAGATTAAATAATCAGTTCCTCCTTGTAAAATGTAACAATCATTTCTTTCCACATATTACGCATCAATTTTGAGCTTTATTTTCTGACCATTCAAAACATTTAAAAAGACATTATCTCAGTATGAAACTTCAAAGGGCCTCATGATATTTTCAGTGAGTAGCTATTCTTATCATTTCTTCTATAGCTATCAGGCTTAAATAACATATCAAGCGTTACATTCTACGTTCGTTCTTTATTTCAAGAAATTTAAAAATATATTTAACGCTATTTTTCCATATGTTATTTAAAGAAGTAATCATAGTAGTATCTCGAATCAATCATTCCGTTCTGATGAAATTTTTAATCATATTTGATCATCACTTTTTCACATGTTATTTCTTCATTTGACTGAAATGACAAAAAGAGAATATAGCTAAGTAAATCTACCTGAAATTTAATAGCTTTTTAGACAATAGCTTTCGGAAAGTTTTAACATTTCTTGGCTAAAGTCGATAAACACATCTCTGGTGAACTCTTTATCAGTGAATTTCAAGAGCGACATTAATTTCATCTGCTCATTGCTTTACTGTGTACAGCATAAACTGATTCATATTAACAATATTAGTAGTATCTTTGGTCAGATATAGAACTAATTAAGTGGAGGATAAAAGTTCAATAAACACCTTAATTTTGCAACAGATGACACGAAATTCGATTCATACGTATAATAATGCCAATTTAAGGTTCGCAACATGTTCTGGAAATTTAGAACTATGACAAACATTTTGCACATTTTAAGATGCCTGTTGAAGGAAAAAATCAAAAGTTGTAAACCTAAGAGAATTGCTATAAACTTGGATCAACATTACTAGGATCAGTAAATGAAAGAAAAGGGTTGAACTGATACGGTGGAATAAAGAGCTCTCCGATACAAAAGGTAAATGTGATGAAAGGAAATCTATCATTGAAGCGGTTAGTGCAAACAAATAATGTCGTCTTGATTTTAATTGTACATTTGCGAAAAGTAAATTTTCAAGAATTTATGGAACATAAAAAAGCTAAATCAGTCGATCTTAATTCGTTTTACATTTTCGAAGTTCATTCATTCTTTCAACTTCATAGAATCCTTTTTAGTGATTACTTTTAGTAAATGATAATATATCGCTGTCTGTACGGCTTATTGCTATCTTCCATGTCATCCATCTTTTCATCAGATGCAAATAATCTTTAAGGTGTTTGCTACAAAACAAAATTCATTCAGGGCAATTTTCGTAAAAATGTCCAGTTTACTCTTTGAAAATTTGAAAATGAGTAGTTTTACTCAAAGAAAACATTTTTTTTTTTTTTGCAACAGACGCAATAGACCTGAAAAGTAGGAATTTCGGCACTGCCTATGATGTATCACATGATATAGGAAACAATAAAGCAGCGCATAATGTGGATTTTATATAGTGAGTGAAATACCTAAGACGAAGATATATCAAGATTCTGGAATCACTTTCAGGAATATGCATTCAAGTACAAAATGTAATAACGGATAACACCGGATTTGGTATCAGAAAAATATTAATGGAAAACAGCAGAAAAATGTATAATATTAAATGCTAGAAATGACAATAGAAAATGATGATGACAATGCACCTCTTGGAAACATTTCTGGTCGCATTAATACTGTCATTAAGCATTTTTCGTCAAAGATTCTGACATTTTGAACTCTTCAAGAAAGGGTTTTCTGAGAAATGTTTTTTTGTTGCGTGTCATTTTCTAATAAAACGAAATGTGGATTACTTGATCAACAATTTTTACATTCATCCTTATTTGTTATACTTTCTTCATTTCTCTGCTTCTTTTTTGCGATGAAATTAAAATGGAATGATAGAAGCTGCGTAGTACGGTACCTGTTTTATGAAACTGTTAAAGAAATAAAGATTTTATATGCATGTAACTATGGACAGATCGAACAGGAGTTTTTGTTGTACGATAATCGCTGGGCATAATGATTTAGATTAGTGGTTTACGATCTTTCCTTGACCAAGGATCACTTTGGCTTTTTTATTTATAACAGGTACCACAAGGTCCAAAAATAACAAATTCTGTTAGTTTGAAAATAAAGTTTAGCAACGGAATTTGATACTTATAATATAGTGTCACAACCGGATGAACCGCTATCCGGACAAACGAATTGAAGTATAGCTTTAAAAAAAAGTAAAAAACAACCCCAGTCTATTTTCTACACACCGCGCCCCGGCCCTTGGACCATCGGTTGGGAACCACTAGTTTAGATTATTAAGGTGCCTCACTGCTGGAAAAGTATTCCGTCTTCGATGGTTAATTATCCTCATCAAGAAAATCTACAGGATTTCCGAATTAAACCAAACATTTTTTTTGAAAATTTACGAAATGAAAGATCGGAATTGAAAGAATTAAACGACAGACAGCGGCTGGAAACTTTTGCCCACAGGGGAGAAAAACCCTGACCAGTTACAATAGGAGATTGGTGCACCGGGGAGTGAGGAAGGCTATTACCGATGATTACGGCGGGGAAAGGAATAATAGGTCGCCTATCCTCTATCTGTTCTTTGCTGTGCACAATTACATGTATAAAAGAGATTTGATCTTGCAGAGGCACTTTATGGTAGAGTTAAACTTGAACATTTCTGTTTTCTATACTATTCTTAATAACGAGCTGATTTATCTAATTCTTATAGTCATGAATAAGATGTGTAGTTTGGTACAGCATAATAATATGGCATTCAGTATTCATATTTTACAACCGATTCCTGCTTAAGAAGTAATAAACCTGAATCAATCTTATGCTGAGATAATGATATCCAAAGCATTCAAATACAGATGAGTTGCTTTCCTCGGAAATGTAAATAAGTATAAAAGTATAACAGGCATCAATAAGAGCGGAATTGTTGATGATGTATAGGTGTCAATCTCTTTTTATACTTGCTATTATGAGAAAATGCCTTAGAGGTGTTCTGTACAGTGGCGGAATTGGGAAAGAGACGATCTTCAATGAGTTTCAATTTTCCACCAAAATCATAGTTTCAGGTACTGATGGGGTAGAGCGACACACTTCCTGACAGATAACACTTTCAAATACTATTTGTTCTTCATTCTAGGATCTTGAATACAGGTAGACGACCAGTGATCCTTCCTCTTCTACTTCTTTCTTTCTATTTCTACGAACAAATCCAAAGTACGCGAAATATGAAACGCAATCAGGTAGCCATATTGCGTATTACAGTTACTTTTAGTCATTTTTTTTAGTCATCTGTCTATTTGTCCATCTGTATGTATGTTTGTCACCATGGCAGTATACCACAGGCTGTAAAATGAATAGAAAATCCAACTGGTCGAAAGAGACCAGTCCTTCTAGATTTAGATACTATTCGGTAAACGAAATGTTACGAGATTTACAGGTCTTCTTCCATCAGAAATTGGAATTACCATACCTATCAGCGACTGGGTTTTAAAAATTGCACCACAAAACACCGAGAAGTAAGGAAAAAAGTCCAGAATTATTTAGTCTATTAGTTTATTCAAATCAATAATAATTCCCGATCTAAATAGTATGGATGACACATCAATTTAGCAATATTAGTACGGCCTGTTTCTTCACATGTTTTTTTGCAGAGCCTTTGACTGCTATTTTTAGTTCCCTTGGCATTAACCCTAACGAGAAGTACAAAACAAACAAAGTAGCAAATTTTATTTTTGTTTAAAACAGGAAGTTCTTTGATGATTATCTGAAAAGTTTTTGACATCACGCTATTTGGTTTAAAGATTGGCAGGTAACTGAAAGCAAAACTGACATTGGAAAAAAAAGGAAATATATGATCGGAAAGACACAGAATAAGAAATCTAACAAGAGAAACCTTTCCCTGCCCACCACTGTTCATAAACATTTATTATTTTATTTTTACTTTTCCTATGACATCATTTATTTCTGTGATATTCTTCCATGCATGTATTATTTTTATTCCGATAATAAAAACCTGCACACTCATCAAATGTTTTCGAACAAACAGTTTGGATGGGACCATTTTAAATATCCCTCAGTTTCTTTGACTCCATTTGGCACAGTTTTTACTTTAGTTTTCATAAAGATTTATGAGTAGAAAATGTGAAAAAAAAACACAGTTTCCCAAATATCGTGAACTCATGAAAGTTGGTCATTTAGGCTAATGTCAACTATAGTTAATTAACGTTTTCAGGCATTCCCTTTTTTATCGGTAATTGTGATGACGTAAATTATGAAATGTTTGAGAAAATTATTGCTAAATAATTACTCTGACATATACTGACATATACTTTAAAGGTCAGAATATTAGACCTGATATACCACGTTGACATTTGCCTCACTGTCATATTGTGTCACAAAATTTGACTCATGTACGGTCAAATTTGTTTTATTAACATGTATGGAAGTTCTGCTCTCCAGTTTTGGTAACTTTTAAAACCGCTTTCCATGATGGTAGAAAGTTCTAGAGTGGCATTATTACGGTTCAGCAATTTGAAAAGCTGTTTTCTGAATATATCCTTGCACGGGTATGAGGGAATTAAGGCACTAGAGACAATGGAGGGTGACACTGGTTGTCGAAATCCGACGTTGTTTTTGATCATTATCGACTTCCTTGCCAAGTATCTCAAGAGAAGGAGTTGTCTAGAAAATAGATAACCAAATGGATATGTCTAGGTGGCATCAGTTACGAAAGGTCTGACATGCTCATATCACTGCCTGCGAGATGCATGTATTTAAATCTCGTTTGGCCTGAGGAACTGGAAATTTTTGGAGTATAAGTTTGGGCCGGTATTCGAATCGGTTAAAACCGAAGTGCCAGGGGATACGTAAGAGCGGATTATTAAGCCTTAAGGGTTACCTTTCACAGCTCAAAATTATAAATTTATGTACGGTTCAAGAGCATCTAAAGGCTGAAAGAGTTGCACATCATGGGAAACGATTTCAGAGGTCACAGAAGGAAATGAGGAAAGGAGTGGGTGCTTCCACACGTACTACACACACACACACATATACACACACACACACACACATATACACACACACACACACACACACACACACACACACACACACACACACACACACACACACACACACACACACACACA